TGTACAGTTGGGTAATACGTATAAAAGAAACAAAATTGCACCAATGTTGCTTAGTGGGAAGGTAAACCAAGAAATCAGATAAGATATAAGGAAGCGGATAATGAATTCCAAAAGGCAATTAAATTGACTAGTCTAGAAAATGAAAAAGTGATAACCAAACACAGCAAAACCTGCGCCTCTTCCCCCCCCCCTCCCCCCCCCAACATTAAGTACATAAATTCTCAAAAAAATAAAAAAAACACAACATTAAAGTGTAGCTACACTGAAAACATAGATGAGTGTGTTAGTTATTAAAGATTAGGAAAAGGCAGACATTTTAAATAACTTTTTTTTCCGTATATATTGAGGAACCTATGGCAAGAAAAATGCAAATGATTACTGCAAAAAACTTGCAAATTGTGATTGGATAACTCAAGACAAAGTCTGCAGAGACGAAAGGAAGTTAAATTAAGCAAAGCTCTGGGGCCATAATGGTATTCACCTATGAGTACTTAGGGAGCTGTGTGGAAATTAGTGAACTAAGTTCCTGAATTCAAAAAAGGTTCAAATCTTTGCCTGGAAACCTGCGTTACCCAAAACCCTAGAGAAAAGCATTTCCTATAGGGGAAGTCCGAATGAGGGTGGAGCCTTAGCGCTTAGCTGCTTCCTTTTTTAACCCCTTCTACACATCAGGTAGAGAGGGCCGTGCAACAACAGAAGGGGGGGGGGGCACTATAAATGTGGTACGACTTTTCCACCGTTTGTTACTTTTTGTTTTGTGCCGATGAAACCTCCTTTGGATTTTGAGTGTTCTTACTATTTTCTGTTTATGGTTTTGTGAAACATAGATCCTGTCAAACTAACTTCATTACATTCTATGAAGAAGTAAGTAGAAGTATAGATTAGGTTGCCAAGGTGTTCGATATGGTTCCATACATTAGGTTAATGTTCAAACCAAAATAAAAAATTGGTCTAGATGAAAATTCTTGTTCTTGGGTTGAACATTGGCGCAAGGATAGAGTACAGAGAATTGTCATTCATGGTAAATGTTCAAGCTGGACTAAAGTGGTAAGTGCTGTCCCTCAGGGTTCTGTGCTGGGACCACTTCTATTTAACATTTACAAATGATCATGAGATAGACTTAGTCATGTTTCAGTGTTTGCAGATGACACAAAACTCTGTAAATTAATGAGATGGATATTACTTTGCTGCAAATGGATTTAGATAGATTGGGGGACTGGGCACTCAAACGGCTTGTGAAATATAAAGAAGATAAATGCAAAGTTTAGTGTTATGCGTGTATAAGCAACGTACACCCTAAGCCAGGGGTGGGCAATCTGCGGCCCTCCAGATGTTTTGGACTACATCTTCCTTGATGCTTTGCTAGCATTATGGCCCTAAGAGCATTATGGGAGATGTAGTCCAAAACATCTGCAGGGCCGCAGATTGCCCACCCCTGCCCTTAGTGGTAGTGAATTCGGTATAACAACACTCTACAAGGATTTGGGAATTGTTTTAGACGTCAAACTAGGCAACACTCTGCAATGTCAATGATGGTTGTCATGGCCAGTCATTCTCAGGTTGAAAATATAGTTTTGCTTCTTTATAAATCAATGGTAAGACCACACCTTGAATAAACCATGCAATTTTGGGCACCTGTTCTAAAGGAGGATATTATGGCACTAAAGAAAGTGTAAAGGCGGGGTATCAAATTATTAAAAGTAACAGAACATTTTAGTTATGAAGAAAGCTTAACAAATTTAAATATGTTTAAATTAAAAAAAAAAAAAAAAACCTAACGGGATATGATAACCTTATACAAATATTTAACTTTTGTCCAATTTGAATTTTTTTTATTTACTTCTCTCTGCATTCTATCTTTAAGCCAGTGTTCTATCCAAGAACACAATTTTTTGTCTTAACTGACTGATTTCAGTTTTACTTGTAACCTTTTGAGTGGAACTGTATGAAATGCCTTGGCAAAATCCAAGTAGATCACGTCTACTGGATCGTTCTGATCTTTATGTCTACTAACTTCTTCAGAGAATGCAATTAAGTTAGTTTGGCATGACTAATTTATCATAAAACCACGCTGTTTCTTGCTATTGATATATTTGTTCAAAATTAATTTGTGAATATTATCCTCTAACAGCCCTTAGTTTTCCAACCACAGATGTTAAGCTCATGGGTCTGTAGTTTATTGGTTTAGCTTTTTAACCCCTTTTAAATATAGAAACCACATCTGCTTCTCTCGAATTCATGAAAGAAAATAATCCTAATGTTAGTCAAGCAGGCCTTTAATTGTACACTTTACCATGTTATCAAAATATTTTATATAACTTATTAAATATGAACCAACCAGCTAAAACTATTGAACTGTGGAAAGTGGGGGAATAAAGAGAAGCAGTTAATTTATTGGAGAGCAAAAAATGGGTCGCAAGAGTATTCTGAGGACGGACAGCAGCTAAAATAGCCTGCCCTTCGGTGGGTCCCCGCTCAGAATTCAAGCTGGTTTTAGCTCAACTTGTGCCATTACAGAGAGAACATATCTGAAGCATATCTGAGTGGTCCCACCTATACGGGCAGTCCATATCCGAAATGCCAGCAAATTCTCTCTGCACGAGAGATACAGCAACCCCAGACGATTGTTTCAGCCTTGTTAGGCATCGTCAGTGAGGCATAGCTGATATCTCTCTAGGCACCGTGAGCAAGGGGTCCACGTCTGGATTACCCTTTAAACTAATGGAGAGCAAAAAATGGGTCGCAAGAGTATTCTGAGGACGGACAGCAGCTAAAATAGCCTGCCCTTCGGTGGGTCCCCGCTCAGAACTCAAGCTGGTTTTAGCTCAACTTGTGCCATTACAGAGCGAACATATGTGAAGCAAAAATCAGCTTGAGAACTGAGCGGGGACCGACCGAAGGGCAGGCTATTTCAGCTGCTGCCCGTTCTCAGTATTCTCTTGCGACCCTTTTTTGACTCTCCACAAGTTTAAAGGGATAATCCAGACGTGGACCCCTTGCTCATGGTGCCTAGGGAGATATCAGCTATGCCTCACTGATGGTGCCTAACAAGGCTGAAACGATTGTCTGGGGTTGCTGTATCTCTTGTGCAGAGAGAACTTGCTGGCATTTCGGATCTGGATTGCCCGTATGGGTGGGACCAGTCTGATATGCTTCAGATATGTTCTCTCTGTAATGGCACAAGATGAGCAAAAATCAGCTTGAGAACTGAGCGGGGACCGACCGAAGGGCAGGCTATTTCAGCTGCTGCCCGTTCTCAGTATTCTCTTGCGACCCTTTTTTGACTCTCCACAGTTAATTTATTGTTTACTGTATAATTCAATTTAGTATGCCTTTTGAGAATATGTGCTTTATAAATTTATTTTTTACATCCAGACTGCAAATGTTATTTATTTGGTTGGAGGATTATTATATGATTTGTATCACTTTTAAGTGATAACCTAAAGATCATGAACAGTACATACAGTACAGTTCTAAAGTTATATTTTTTAAACAAATGTATTGAAATCTAAAACATTAAGAATTTTATTATTCTTTATTTTTAGCGTGCAAGATAAAACAAACAAGCATGATATGCGCCAAAAGCATAAATAGGCATTTGAGGTAAATACATATGGATAACATTAAGAACTATTAATGCCAATTCTGATTTGCAGATATTTTCAGAGATGATAAATTGCTGGAAGATGTTATTTTCTGGAAGGCTATATTGCAGACAGAAGCTACTCAACCCACTTTATTTTTGTAATGGGGAACAGTGATTCATATGTTCAGGCTGATCCGTATTATGCCAAATTGAATTCAGTTAGATAAAAAATAGATTAGTGGTATTCATGAAACTGATGTCAGGAAATGACTGGGGGTAGAGGAGAGGGGGAGAGGTGTTGAACAAAGCATGGGACCCTGGTAGAAGATGTCATTATCATCTACCAGGGTCTCACAGGGAGGAATCTACAATGGTTGAAGTATAGCACCCCGCTGCCTGCTAACAGCCGCATGCAGAACGGAACCAGGATGAGGGCCATGCTTCCCCACTACTAGAGATCAAGGATTTTGGAGTCTTGGCACTATTCACTTGCCCTCTTGGGGCTCTAGTCTGGGGCATCCACACCCACCCCTGGGGATATGTAGTAATTCTAGTATGCATAATTTAAAATCAAGTACTTCACTACTAGCCAGTCCTTAAAACTTAGCTGTCTCTGCAAGTCTGGGAGATCCATGGCACACATCTCAGGGATGAATTTCTAATCGCCAGGGCTAAATTTTCAAGTGAAAATTTTGTGCCTTGCAGTATGTGTATAGCCTTTGTGATGAGTTGAACAGGTCCGTGAGCCAATAGAAGCCATATTGCTGCTGCTATCAGTTATGTGCATACCAGTTGATCATTTTGTGTTGTGTACAGCTACCACAGGAGTTACCAAATGTGATGCATAGAGCCTCTCCTCGGCTCTCTCTGGAGAGGAGAAAGATCCTTCCTGTTCGTATGTGTAGTGTGTAATAAACACGTGGGAATACTTAAAGGACCACTCTAGGCACCCAGACCACTTCAGCTTAATGAAGTGGTCTGGGTGCCAGGTCCAGCTAGGCTTAACCCATTCTTTTATAAACATAGCAGTTTCAGAGAAACTGCTATGTTTATCAATGGGTTAAGCCTTCCCCCAAAGCCTCTAGCAGCTGTCTCATTGACAGCCGCTAGAGGCGCTTGCGTGATTCTCACTGTGAAAATCACAGTGAAACACGCAAGCGTCCATAGGAAAGCATTGATAATGCTTTCCTATGCGACTGGCTGAATGCGCGCGCAGCTCTTGCCGCGCGTGCGCATTCAGCCGACGGGGAGGAGAGGAGGCGGATCGGAGGCGGAGAGCTCCCCGCCCAGCGCTGGAAAAAGGTACGTTTTTACCCCTTTCCTCCTTCCAGAGCTGGGCGGGAGGGGGTCCCTGAGGGTGGGGGCACCCTCAGGGCACTATAGTGCCAGGAAAACGAGTATGTTTTCCTGGCACTATAGTGGTCCTTTAAGGCACCCTGCTCACTTATTGCTTATGCAGAAGTTCTACAGAGTGCACTATTGTCTTCTCTTTATTATATCCTTGAGTTTACCTGGCTCCCACAATGCTGTAGTACCACCATTCCATATCTCCAGATCCAAGGAATCTGCTGTGCTTTTTTATTCAAGATAAGACTTATTATATTGTTACCTTAATAGAAGGCACATTACCTTCAACACCTGGACTTTATTTTTGTTTTAACTGTGAGTCCTTTGTTGTTATTTAACCTACCTTTTTAGGTCTTTATGTGATTTGATTTATTGCAGATTTTACCTATTGCAGATATTATACTGTCTTGTTCTATTTTATTGTTCTTTGGCACACCCTTTTTTTTATTTCCTTGTCTCCATTTGGATGAAGCCCATAGCCCAATATCACCATAACTAATACAATGGCATGAAGCGGGTAGTGCCTAAACCATTTAAGTGCCATACGTGTTTAAATGACTGTCATTAACTGGTTTATTCACTCAAGTGGCTTTACATTTTAAACTCATCTTAAATTCTCTCTTTAATAACCATGGAATCATTCATTTGCACTTTACTTTTTTTTAGTAGAAATAAAATACTTAAAATGTTTTTTTTTTTTTTTGCTTTTTGTTTTTTTAAAACAATTATCCAAAATCACTTTTAAGAACCACTAATGCACCCATACCACTTCATCTCAGTCTTATAAAATCTAATTAGGGACTAGGGCACTATAGATTTAGGAATACAAGTTTATACAAGTTAAGATATTAGTGAGTTACAAGGTAACCAAAACTTATCACTTCCATATCCTTCAAAATCATGGTTTCAGCTAAAACTAAGCTGTTTTTGGGCAGTTCACATTGGTTAGAAGAATAGGGCAAAAACTCCATGCTGGCACCTGTTCAATAAATACAGCGAGAAGCATCAGGATAGATTCTAGAGACCGATCTTGACATGTAGCCTATAAAGAAAGATCATCAAAGGTCCCATTATTAACGGAAATATTCAACCACAAGCAGGGTCTACCTGACAGCATAATTGTATCAGACTGTGTGCAGGCTGCACTGTATGTTCTTTACTTGTATTGGGCCCTGCTCTTGTCGTTCTGATGTCTCTTCTATTGTCGTATTTGACTTTCATTAAGTAAGCTTTCACAGAAACTGCAACACATCACACTTTTCAAAATGTGCACTTTTGAACAATGGAATTCCACTAGATTGAAAGCTTGTTTAAGCATGGTCCTCATCAACCTATTGTACCTGTAATATTTTGTAATTCTCTCATTTAATGTTAAATTCCCCCCTTTATGATATTGTAATGCGCTGTGGAATATGTTGGTGCTATATAAATGCCAATAATAATAATACGTGTAATTTTCAGAGTAGTTATTATATGATGAAGCTAATAAAATTTTAAAACCAATGCGTACACACAAAAAAAATTAATTTGTTCATCCTTGTTAACTTATATAGCCCAATTTCTAAGCTGTACTGCAATGTCATCTGCATTAATTAAGATAACATTTAATAATGGTGTCCTAAACAGCTTAAGTTTTGGAAAACACCTGCAGCATATTAACTTCCAACTATTACAAGCCTGTGGAGACACAATAACTTTATATAGTTTGTAATTTAGGATGATTAATTGCTTTGCATTTGTCTTTCTCCTTTCGAGGCATAACAAACTTGGGTGGGTGTTTTATCATAGGAAGAGGACAGATTTGTTTTCAGATCATAGATCACGAGCTCTCATTAACTTTTATTATGATATATAAAATGCTGAGCTGTAAAGCATTGTTTTCAATGGGTGAAGATGTGTTGTGTATCTAATGCTACATTTTAGAACAATGCAGCATGATTAGCTATGTGCATCGTGTGCAAGGCAATATCATTATAAAAAAAATGTGATTTAGAAGCAATTATGTAATTTCATTGTCTCAAAGAAATCTGGAAATGGCTTTATGTGAATGTTACCATATCAACGTCTTATTCAACGATGTTTAAAAGAAGCCTTCACTGAAAATGTTTTTTTTTTTTTCCCCAATTCTTTATTTTTGCATTGGCAATATATTTGTCCTCCGGGAGGCATAACCACCTAGCAAAGCTACTGGGTATGGGGCAGCCTCCCAGAGTCAAATGCCAGTGCTGAAAAGGCTTGTGCTGTGCATCTGCACAGCAACAGCCTTTCAGCCAATCAGGTGATCAGGAGAGCCATGCTGAGCGCGGGAATCCTGATTACCTCAGATTTTTAAAAATGGCATCATTGATGGAGGACTCTATTTCTGTGTCTGCCACAGATTTAGTGGATGCCTCTCTTAAAGGCAGCCCCATCAATGTCAGAAAGCTCCATAAGAGAGCTTTCCTTGCCAGGGATCTATCCTCTTCATCTTCTGAGGAGGATTTGGTCCCAGTTTTAAGTAAAAAGAATAAAGGAAGGAGGCTGGTCTCTTCCGCCAGTTCCTCGTCTGAGGAAAACTTCTCTGCTCCTCCTTCCCCTCATACTCGTTTGAGTAAGCGTAAATTTAAGGGGACAGGACCCCAAAAAAGGAATAGCGTGTTTCCCTTGTTTGAGCACCAGAAACACCTTCCAGAGAAAAAGGACAAATCTCGTTGGAGGTTAGATAGTCCCTCTCCTTCCTCTTCTAGAGCGTTTGCTCACTCTTCCTCCCAAAGCCGTCCCAGTTCCAGATACGGCTCTCCAGAAATAGACTGGGAATCCGAGGAAGTGGTTCGTTTAGCAGCTTCCACTGAGCGAGGGAAGCTAAGCAATGTTCAGATGGCCAGAGTAAGTCTCCTAGGAAAGACTCTCCCATCAAAATTATTTCACTCCAGATGAGCTATGGAGCACGATTCTGAGGTTAGAGATTTTGCAAAACTAGCCTTCAGATCCCCCTTGGTTAAGGAGGATGACCTTCTCCTCAGGAAACACATCGGTATCCCGGACATTCAGGCTTTAATGGCCCCAGAGGTAGATCCTGCTCTGTTATCCATCACAGGGAGTAGCGTATCCTCTGATCCCATAGACCAGACTTTTCGCAATATACAGTTCAAAATTGCTGATGCTGTGGGCCCACTATTACTGATGCTGGATAAGGCAGAAAAAGAAGGCAATGCTCAGAAACCTTCCGCTTCATCTCTGTTGGCATCTAAGATGGCCCTTTTAAAAGCATCTGGCAGGGCAGTGCTAATTATTGGCCAATCCTTTAATTACATATCTAACATCCGCAGATCCCGCTGGCTCCATGCAGCAGGTCTGTCCGACCTAGCCCCCAAATCGCATGAGTTCCCAAATTTGGAGGATTCTTACCTATTCGGTCCCTCGTTCATTCAGGAGGTTAAAGGCCGTTACAAGGCAAGGAGATCCTTTTCAGAACTCAAGAAGTCCGTCCCTGGCTACAAAAAGCACTTTTGGACAGAGGGGCACCCCTATAGGGCTGCAGGAGCGTCCTGAGAAGCCTCTCACCAGGCCCAGTACCGCCACTACAGTCGAAGACACAAGCTCCCAGGCGGTGGCAGAGGAGCGCATTCCAGAGGCGGTTCAGCTTCCAAAATAAAACCCATGCATTCATGTAAGTGTGCCTCCTCATATGCCACTAAATTGGAAGGATATTTCCTCTGACAAATGAGTTCTAAAGATTTTTCAAAGGGGTTTACAACTCCCCCTTTTAAGGTTCCCAGTCCAGAAATTTGCACTCCACAGAGAGGTGAACCCAGTGCTAGATGCCTGCCTTTCCTTAGCTTTAAGTCAAGGGAAAATAGAGTTGGCAGACATGTCTATTACAGGATGGGTCAGCCCATTGTTCCCAATCCCAAAATCAGACGGTTCCTGGAGACCGGTCCTAAACGTGAGGTCTCATCAAAGGGAAAAGGTTCAGGATGGAGGGTTTATCAAATCTTCCAGGCTTAGTACAGAAAGCTTTTTTCTGCACAAAGTTAGACCTAAAAGATGCCTTCCATTCAGTTCCCATAGCCAAGAAACACAGGCGTTTTCTCAGGTTTCAGTGGAAAGGGAAAGTGTGGCAGTGGACCGTTATGGTGTTTGGCCTATCCAACTCATCATACACATTCTCCAGAATTCTGAAATCAGTGATAGCTCATGTCAGACTAAAAGGTTTCATGTGTCTATACTATCTAGACGACATCCTGCTCATGCACCCAGATGGGGAAGCCCTTGCTTCTCAGAGGGATTACCTTGCTTCCCTTTTACAAGACCTAGGATTTGTAGTAAATTTACAGAAATCAGTCCTAATTCCCACTCAAAGCATCCTCTTTCTGGGTTTCATACTGAACACCAGGACTATGTCTCTAGGAATCCCTCAAGACAAATGGGACAAATTACTGGTACATCTGAACTCATCTCTCAGGCACCAGAGTTGGTCCTTGAGTGACCTAGCAAAGATTATCTGGAAATTAATAGCTTTAACACCAGCATACAACAATTCCCCCTTACTTTGCAGGGAAAGTCAGCTGTTTTTAGGCAACCGACAGGGTGGCCATTGGGAATCAAAATTTGTTATCCCCAAGAAGGTCAGAGAAGAATTGAAGTCCATTCTGGAGTTATTAATTCCACTTCCCCGTCCCCTGTTAGAGCAGCCTGTGGCAGGCACTCTGACGTCAGATGCCGCAAGTCAGGGTTGGGGGGCGTTTACAGCCCAGAATGCCTTAAGAGGAATTTGGTCAGACCAAGAGAGTCTCCTCCATATAAACATCTTGGAGTTACGAGCTATAAAATTAGCTCTCCAGGGCCTAGTTCCTCTAAACCAGTCACCGACGTTGGTAAAAGTCCAATCGGACAACAGGACAGCGGTGGCTTATAAAACCACAGAGGGGGCACAAGATCAAGGGGTCTTTGTTTAGAGGCTCTAGATCTTTGGTCCTGGGCCTTAGCAAGCAATGTTCAGGTTTTCACAGAATATGTTCCGGGAGAGGCGAACGAGCTTGCAGACTCTCTCTCTCGCCAAAGTTTGTCCCTGGCAACAATTCAATTCAAGATTGCTCTTTTCCAACGGATAGAAAGCAATTTTGGCCAGAGACAGGTAGATCTGTTTGCATCCCAAACATCTGCACAAACTCTCAGGTTCGTCTCCCGGACCTGGACAAAGAGAGCTTGGAAAATGGATGCAATGTCTTTCCAATGGACAGATGTTCCAGCCCCTTATGCTTTCCCCCCTCCATCTTTACTGATGAAAGTCCTGGAGAAGATCCGCAGGGACAGGGTGCAGAGCTTAGTTCTCGTTTATCCACCGTTCCATTGGCTTTAGAATTTCTTACCCTTAAGTTCCACTCTGGTTTATCTGTCCGTTCAATCAAGACATATGGATCTGCTTTAAACTTCCTGATCCCCAACCTTACTCAGGATGCCCTGTATTTGAGATTACTAAAAGGGTTATCTGTCTGCCGCCCATATACCCCATGCTACACATCTACTTGGGATTTCCTAAAGTCTTTGGATAATGCTAAAATTGATTTAAGATGGACTGCTATTAAGTTGGCTTCTCTGCTGTCCTTGGCCCTGGCAGCTAGAGGAGCAGAGTTAACTCAAATCCATATTTCAGACCCTTGGTTGTCCTTGACCCCGGGAGGTTTCCATATTATACTAAAAGGCAGACAAAAAACATCCCATTTTTCTCCTGGTCCGTTAGAATTGGACTTGGTCCAAGATCTTTCCGAACCAGGCTTATGTTTAGTCAGTTTGTTACAATCGTACCTTCAACTTTCTGCTGTATTCAGAAATGATATCAGTCAATTATTCATTACATCAAGGAATCCCTTTCGTCCAGCCAAGGTTAATACTATTAGAGGCTGGATACTTTCCGCCATGTCTTCGGCTGGAATTGATGTTTCTGTGTTCAAAAGCCATTCAATTAGGGGAGCCTCGGCTACTTAAGCAGCAGGGAAGGGCCTTCCTCTCCCTATTATCTTGAAAGCTGCGAGATGGTTGTCCAGTAAAACCTTTGTTAGATTTTACTGGAGGCCATCAGAAGTTGAACGCCTTCAGTTTCTTAGGACCACCACCAGGTGTGTGCTATTCTACCCACTAGCTTTGCTAGGTGGTTATGCCTCCCGGAGGACAAATCAGAGTTTGCAGAAAGTACGAAGGATACTGGGCAACTTGAATCGTTTTATTTTGTGTTTAGATGTTTAATTATATTCCTGTACACTGTGGGAAATATTTATCCTTCGTACTTCGTGGGATTTGCTAACCATCCGCAGTTTCCCAATTTTAAAAATCCGAGGTAATCAGGATTCCCACGCTCAGCACGGCTCTCTGATAACCTGATTGGCTGAAAGGCTGTTGCTGTGCAGATGCACAATGCACAGCGCGAGCCTTTTCAGCTCTGGCATTTGACTCCGGGAGGCTGCCGCATACCCACTAGCTTTGCTAGGTGGTTATGCTCATCCCTAAGACAAAGAAAGTTTGCAGATCATAGATTCCTGCAAACTCTGATAGAATGCATAACGATACATATAAAAGGAGGCAGAGTTCTAAGTAACACAATATTCGGGATATGTGTAGGTAATCAACCGTAACATGCGATAATCATACATAGTTTTCTACATTCTTGTCTGGAGATAACAAGGATCATTGGTCTTTTTCTTCCCCCTGCAGATTGATTCTGAATTCTAGTTGCCAAAGTTTTAATTTTTTTTTAGATAAACTGAAGGATAATAAAACAGCAATAACATATAATTAAAGTGGCTGTTTGGACTAACAATGATTAGTTTGACAAATTCAAAACCTGTGTGTGAGTACTGACTGAAGGGCCGCGCCCGTATGTGAACTAGGCTCTTCCCTTTTTTCTTGTTATCTGTCTAAAAGGTGGGATAAGAAAAGAGAGTAATAAAGTAGAGCAGAGTTGGGTAGCATTGGGGGGTCTAGGGAGTTACCTTTAAATAGCGGAAAGGACAGTAATGTGTAAGCAGTTTGGGGCTTGAGATGGCTGTCTGTGAGTTGTATCTTTATAGGTCAGGATCAGTCTGGTGTTCGTAAGCATTTTCCACATGTTTTGTTTTGATGGTATATGAACAAAAAAAATTATTGCAAAGGGCCTCCTGTCTGCCTCCTTTGCAAGCCCACTCCTCTTTCACATTCAGTCTGTACTGGGTAATGCACCAGTCAGAGGCTTCTCATTGACTTCTCTGTGCTATAGCCACATGCGCACACGTTTGCAGCTTTCCTCTGTATGTCAGTGAGCTTTAATGTGCCTGCTGCTTCAATGGAAGTTGAAGAAAATCTCCTTCTCTGTCTGACAGCAAAGGAATTGTGTCTTCCCCCAATTATAATAGTGCCGATTTCTATGAAAATCTGCTCTTTTTCAAACTGTCACAAACATGACATACTCCAGACACTTAAGGCACTTCAGCAAGCTGAAGTGATTTATGTGTCTTTAGTGTTCCTTTTAGATAACATAGGCTGTTTTAGATAGATTGCAGACTAAACGGGTAATAATAACATAACATATATCACTATTCAGCTGCTGATTTGGTTAATTCCAAGAGCGTGCGCTGAAAAGCACTTTGCGTCCCACTGGGAGAGAGGCTCTATATAAATACTAGTTATTATTATTAGTTATTATAAACCCTGGCGTATGTACTTACTTTACCAATACTTGCAGACTGAGCGTGCCACTCCTTTACCTACTATTATATACACACAGTTTTCTTTTAGTTTCCTCCTAACCATTGTGCATTATGGACCTTATTGCTTTTAACTAATACGGCTTTGTTAACAAGTTTGATTTTATAGTATATCATCACTTAATCCCTATTTGTTTTATCATTTGAAGGTTGGCATCAATACACCATTAAAGACTTCATATTATTTTCATCTTTACCTCTTCCCAGAGTTTTGGAAAGTATATTCTTAAATGAACACTTCAAGCACCATAACCACTATATTACATTGTAGTGGTTATAGTGCCTGAAGTGCTTTGTCAACCCAAGAATTGTAAGTAGTCACACTATTTTAGAAAGGTTTAAACTTCTTACCTTGGCTCTGCTGCACACCTCCGCTACCTGTAAACCCTCTCTCTCAACTAAGCTCAGAATGCTGTAGTGTTTATGGTTCTTGGAGTGTTCCTTTAAAGGGTGACTTAACTTGTCTTTTGGCAGTCCTGAATAGAATTCCGGGCTACAAAAATCATGTGTGGTGGGGGTACAACTAAAAGTGCATATATCTCTAAATGTGCATTGTTTCAAGCAGACATTCTGCACACACAGCCTCTGATCATCATGGACAGCATTTTGCTTTAATACTTTAGGGACTCTGCTGTGTATATATTGTGTAGTCACTCCGTCATTGGGATTTGTTGTCAAAAGTAAGGGCCCACATTTCAGTCTTAGACTCTTGGGTGACTTAGAGGTTAGGTACCTCTGTGCGACACACACCCTCTCTTACCTATCAGGTTGCTTTAATTTGAGGGTTAGACCACCCCAAGTTTCATAAGCAGA